ATGGCTGAGGATGTGAACGGCAAGCCAGAAGTTCTGCTTGAATGCATCTGAATGCAGGAGAGGAGGAGGAGAGGAGCACCACCCCATCCCCTCCACAGTTTCAAAACCAAGCACCCTGAGCTTTTTGCTCACACTTCTTTGCCCTTGCATTGCTCCCCCTTTCTCTATCTCGCCCGCCCCCATCTCTTTATATGTCCAGCTGGCTGCGCCACAAAGACTCTGTCTCCCAGTTCCAAATGATCCTCAAACCCCCACATGCTTTGTTCTTCTCATTTTCCCACTCCCCAGAGACAGAGTTTAGAAGCAAAAATTAAAATGAGGAAAGGATAGAGGGAGAGAGTAAGATGGGGGAGAGAGATTAAAAAGGTGAGGTAGAGTGAGAAAGTGTGTGAGAACGAGAGACTAAACCAAGAAATACTGTCAGATCTTGTAGATGCAGGCTTAAGGGATTCAGAGACCTTGAGTTTGCAGGCTTCAAGTCATCAAGGAATTGATGTAAACATCTTTTGCATCATGACCTTGACACATAAATTGCAGCTGGATGTTCTCAAATGGGCAATTCTGCTGACAAGTCAACGTAATAAACCAAAAAGTTTCTGTAGAAGTTAAAGGGAATATCTCAGCCAGCTGAACCTCTTCTTTAGTTTCAGTGCACTTTAATCTGCTTGTTTCCCAGCACCACTTTCTGCGGGGGCTAGGATCATGTTTTGCGGTAATCATGCGGTCAATTACAGGCAACAAGTCCCTCCAGGTTGAAAGGTTTTAGATCCCTTGTCCCACCCTGCTGAAATCCCCCAGTTCCCTAGCTTGTGTGAAATCATGCGGTGGATTGTTGTGCAGAAAAAGGACCACAGTATGGAGATGTGGGCTGGAACTAATAGGATTGGTTTTGATTCATTAGATTCTCTTTCATCATCCTGGTTGGAATTCCACTCCACGTCTCCTCGGGCTTCACACTTTTAAAATGGAGGTGGGAGGGGGGCAAGTGTTTATAATTGAGCCTCGAGACTGCAAAAGCTCATTACTCTCTATGGAATCATCTGCTTATTTATACCCCATGGAATCAGCATCATAACCATGTGAATGCAGCACTGTGTTTGTCAAAGTAGCAACAACACAGTACAGGATATGAGTCAGTGGTTGGCAAAATGCGTAACCAAAATGTAGAATAGCAACACACAAAAGCAAAACACAAAGATGTTTAGATTCTAAATATATTCTCACAGAGAAATCTACAACCGTTGGTTACATATGTAATGTTACATATCCTGAGAAGGAAATGGAGATGACTGACAGTGTTGCAGCCCAAAGCAAGTAATAGGCAGACATTTCCTTCTTCATACATCACCTGCCCAATCCTCACTTAAATTTATCACTACACACACTAAAACTAACAGGGTTTCTTCATACCAACTGAACAAGCTTTCAGTTTATTACTTTATGAGCTTAAAAGAATACTCAGACGATTTGGGAGTTATGCCCTTTCTCTATCATTTTCATAGTGAGTCAACATGATTGATAGCTTTTTTGTGTCTGTACGTCCAGTGGCTGGGTCTCAGCGGTTAGCATTGCGGCTTAGCTTAGCGAATACAATTGAAGTCTATAGGGGGTCAGTAGCCTACTCGGTAAAAGTGAACAAATAAATGTTACAGAAACCCTGAAGCTGGTATTTCTGCACGTGCATTTAAAATAAACATGTTTAAACATTAATTTGAAAAACGAGAGTCCTTTTAAGTCATTTTAGAGGAAGTTTGATACACGGAACTATAGTGTGTTTACGCCCTGCGTGGATGGATACACCGGTGAGCAACAGCTGCAGCTGGCTCTGGAACAGGTACGCTAGGTCACTCGGTAAAAGCAAACAAAGAGACAACAGGGACGATGATAGCATGATGATACAAGGAGAAATGGTAGAGCATAAAGGTCCAAGTGAAAAAAACCCAACTTGCTCATTTAGGATTTTGCCAAAAGAGAAGGAAATCGCCTGTTGTACTGAATATTTGAAGGCAAACTGTGAGGTTGACATGTAAAACTATATGACTTAGTTTGTTGCAATTCTATGTTCTTCAATTGATAATACTCTTAATTTGTCATATTGTTAACGCAAAAATACCCTGAAATATTGTGATATTATTTTAGGGCAATATTGGCCACCCCTAATGCTTATTTGCTTTCTTGCTGATCGTTTGCTGAAAAGATTGCCAGATTGGTATTGTATGTTTCAAACCAAATTTACGTTACGTTTGCACATTATTATGTAGAGGATATATTGAAAATGTGTGGTTATGTTTAGGTACAAAAACCACTTGGCTTCAGCTGGGAAAAGATAATGTTTTGGCTCAAAATACCTGGTTTGTTGGCACAAGTCCTGGCAGGAAAAGCAGCAATCTTTCAGTAAATAACAATCACTTCTGGAGCCCTAAAAAGCCACTAGAAACACGACAGGTTGCTATAAAAACACCCAAATTTGGTGACCAAAAAGCTGGAAACAGCTGTGATTTGTAGAAAAGCACAGTGCCAATGCATTTTCTCTTGGTGACTGAAACAGATAACCTGGTTCTGTCCAGAAGTCATCAAATCCACCCACCAGCAGCTCTAAGGCTCGTATAACACCAACCCCACAGTCTGCCATTTTTGGTGGTGTGTCACACACGGTTGGCAATGGTCAGCCCCGTCAGCTATTTTTCAGCTGATTCAGCATGTTGAATCTGTGTTTGAGACAGCAGAGCCTGACTGGCAGTTCAGCTCAGAGCACAAGAAGAGAAACCGAAGTGAGGAAAGCAAACAAACGGCTAAGTCAAGAGGGCGTGAGCATGAAACAAACTTGTTATATTGGGTTAGATTGTGTTGTTAGCCATTGAGCTCTTTAGCAGAAATGGTTCGTATTTGTTTTTGTTATTGTTTGCTAGCGCATGATAAATATTATTTTATTTTTCAATATCGGGTATTGTTGTGAATGTGCTAACTGGCTAACTAGCGTTGTGAATCTGTCCTGTCGGTCTTCTGGTTTCCCTTTTGAATGATGAAAACAGACTAGCATTGCCTGCTGGTATGAAGACTTACTTTCTCTCATGCAGATGCAGAACATACTTGCTAGTTGGCTGTTGGCTGTAATCTTTGCGGTGTGTTCAAGTGCAACTTTCTGACAGAAACAGGCGACATGAGGTGATGCAACAGTCAGCCTTTGTTGCCACTGATCTTTGATGTCAAGAGTAACTTCCCTGCATTTTTTGTTTGTTGTCGGATATGGAACATGACTGTCAAACACCACTTTCACCTTTTTTCGTGTGTGTGTGTGTGTGTGTGTGTGTGTGTGTGTGTGAAGGACTGAAGGCTAATCCATGTAGTACAAACTGATTTGTCTCCAAGAGTTGAGCAAAAACATCCGAACACAGGCAACAAGATGATGAGTGGGAAAACTACACCAAGGAGATGGTGATGAGCCACACTAATGTTGTTGGTGGACCACACAGGTTTAACAATTGGCCTCAGAACAGTAAGGCTAAAAAGACTGATATTCATTTATATTTCATTTCATATTTCATCATTTACATTTCAATCATGTGAACCAACAGCAAAGCAAACGAGCCTTTATATTTAAATGAACAGGCTATCACAAAACACATAAAACATATTTTTCGTCTTACCTACCTTTTTATCCATTCAGTTTATTAAAAGACGAGGATGTGCTCACTCCTACGTAATGTGGGGGGCACAGTTGTCTCTCCATGTTGGCGTGACAATGTCAAAACTAGTCAGTCTAGTTTCAGCTGGTTGTTTAACCATCAAATTCAGTATAAGTGTTTCTAAAATATCTGTTGCTCAGCAACAAATGCAAAATTTGTTGCAATTTGAATTTTGACCATGTCTGTACAGAACAAAAAACTACTTGTCATCTAAAATGAGTAGCACATCTTGCATTTGTTCAGTCATATGCATTAATGAAACAATAAATGTCATTGCTTTCTGTGTCATGTTTTTGTTTGTGTGAGGTTACTAACATTTCTGCTGTCATGCTACTTCAGGAAAAAGTTAAAATAATCAATGACTGTGATGAAGTTATCAAAAAATAAAGTTGTACATTTTATTGGCATGATACAAATTATCTATAATAAATTTAAAAACAAGAATTACCACCTTGCAGTTGTATGCCTCCACGCACCAGTTACGTTTCTCTTACAGTTTACATGCATGTCTGTGAAAAGATGGATGCTTCACACACATCTTCCCCCCAACAACACAGATGACCTGTACAATCAGCACAGTTTAAAGGTGGGCACCCAAGATTAGTGTCATCAATTCAGTATCTGACCAAATGTCTCCCCCTCTGTTCCTGAGAAATGACACTGAATAATGGCCAGTGTTTTTGCAGACCATTATGATGTCACATTGAAGTTGACCTTTGACCTTTTGGAAATAAAATGTTATCACTTAATTATTTTATCCTATTAGATATTTGTATTTAGTTTTGTCATAATTTGCATATGAATTCTTGAGTTATGGCCAAAAACATATTTTGTGAGGTCACACTGACAATCACTCTTCACCTTTGACCACAAAATTCGAATCAGTTTATTCTTCAGTTTGACTGGAAGTTTGTGTCAAATATTAAGAAATTCCCTTGAGGTGTTCTTGAGATATCGTTTTCACGAGAATAAGACAGATGCAAGGTCGCACTGACCATGACATTTGACCACTGAAGTCCAATCACTTCATTGTTGAGCCCAAGTGGACATTTGCGGCAAATTTGAAGAAATTCCCTCAAGGTGGTTTTGAGATATCACGTTCACAAGAATGACACAAATAAGGTCACATAGACCTGACCTTTGACCCTTTACCACCAAAATCTGATCAGTTCTTCCTCAAGTCTGAGTGGATGTTTTTGCCAAATTCAAAGACACTCCCTCAAGGCATCCTTAAAATATCACCTTCACAAGAATAAGATGGACAAGGTCACAGTGACCTTTACCTTTGAGCCCCAAAAACAAATCAGTTAATTGTTGAGCCCAAGTGGATGTTTGTGCCAAATTTGAAAAAAAAAATCCCTCCAATCCCCACAAAAGTCTTTACTATATTAACACTGGCTTTTTTTTAAGTTTAAGAGCCACAAATGCAATATCCAGGCTTCAGCCACCTGTACTGTAAATGGGACATCATTTAAGGTGCATGATGAATTGAAATGAATTTTAGCTGAGTGCACCGGCTCATCCTAAATGTGTGTCATTTAGTGTCATTAACACTGTACAGTAACTTAACAAAAGCACTGTGGCATTGTGAATATTTCATTTATTTATAAAAGGTGAAGGGAGTGTTTCAGTTCTGTGGTATAAATAAAAAAAATATTTAATCATCTCATGTATTCACTGATACAAAATGTACATAAAACACCCTGGGTGCTGTTGGACAACACATATCTATCAGTTGTACATAAACAGTCAACAACCTGCAAACAGTTGGCCATGAAGAAAACACTGGCTCTCCTGCTGTTTCTGTTTGGGATGCACTCTGTGGCCTGCTTCCATATGAAGGGGGGGCCTCTTGTCGGCCCTGCTTGTCTTAAGTTGTGTACATCAGCGATGTGATCCCAGTGCCAGCTCTGACCCTGGCAGCTCTAGTGTGTTCTTAAGGCCTTGGCATACACTGGCTCCAGGAAATGAAAAGGGAGCAGCATGAAGAACACCACCAGAAAGACTGCACTCACCACTGCCAGCAGTACGTAGCGGCCGATGAACAAAGTGTCCACAATCTGTAGAGAGAAAGAGTGAACCCGTTCACTTTAAGGAGTTTTTAGTAATCACATACTAGAGCTTGTTTTACTTAGTAAACAGTATCCAAAGCATGGGAGGCTGTATATAAATGCAGTATGTCCTCAGTTAGCCACTAGATGTCAGGAGAGGGCCTTCACAAAAGCTTTGAGTAGAGGCAAACTGGAAATGTAGCATAATGTGAGGCCATGAATGGGCACTCTATGCAGGCAGGCAGACAGACAGACAGACAGACAGACAGACAGACACACACACACACACACACACACACACGCACACAGAGGAAAATCTACAATAACTTGATGCCTTGAAAGTTTGAATCAAAATTATAACTAATATTACTATTTGTTTAAAAAAACAGCTGACCAAGCAGAGTGCACAAGGGACACTTGTTAAATATTTCTCATAGTGTCTTAGAGAGTAAGCAGTCACCAGGTCCACTCATGCTGCTGCAGAGTGTACACTGACTGATGCCTACCTGCAGCACCAGTGCTGAGACATATCTGGCCACTGATAGACAACTTTGCTCCAGGTTACATTTTAGCTGGCTTCTTTTTGTGGGAAACTGGTGACTGTTGCCAACTGTGTGCTTTGAGAGAAGAGGGCATATTTGGCTACATGAATGCACAGTTAGATTTAATTTGAGATAATCCTGAATGATAAATTGCCTAACTCTGTGCTGCATTCAGCAGACCGGCACTGACTGTTTCATCTGTTGTGAAAGTGACGGAGACCTCAAAGCCAGCACAAACTATGAATGGGACAATTTGGGTCCTGAATGGTTGCAGAAAAATAAGCACATTGCATGCTACTGGGCTGAAATTAATATTTACAACACTTAATGAGCAGTGATAAATTGATTCAATGTACGAGATCTGCATCTGTGCCGATACTGACATTGTTTAACAGATCAGCCACACATGACTGATCCACAACACCTTCTCTTGGCCTCATGTGCACTATGCATTCTCATTTTATATCTGTGTTTTAAAATGAAAATGATCACCATACCCTAGCATATTCACGACGACTGCAAGTAGTAATCAACTTGTCAATTAATTGCTAAAGGTATATCATATTTTCTTCACCTAATAGCACTGATCAATTCTTGACAAAGACATCTCAAATAACAGCAAGTAAAGGGTTAACTAATACAGGCCGGACAAACCTGGGGGTAACAGCGCGACTGCTTTCTTGCAGGGATCGCAGAGTCTTTCCCTCTCTACCTGAAATTCTGTTAATTTAACATGGTGTAACGTAGAAAATGATTGTTCTTACAAAGAGCCAGTATGTAGTGTTTGTGTGAGTGTGCACAGTCAGTGTGTTGTAGAGCAAAAAGAGAGAGTGATGGGAAAGCAGACAAGCGGGACAGGAACACAACTAGAGGAGAGGGTAATGGCTGATTCACACTACACAATATTTTTGTCTGTTACGACAGTCACTATGTCAGATTAGGCGATTGTGGAGTCATAAATCTTACTGTGACTTGGCTGACAGGCATGACAGACTACACATTGGTCCATGACCAATCATCGCTGGTCATCTTTCATGACGTGTGTGATGTCATTGGATTATTCTTGTTCAATCTTTATTATAATTATAATTATTATTATTATTTACAGTCACCGCGGCTGTTCGTGTCCCCAGCTCCATTTGAAGTAGCCAACCGCATGCAATTTAGTCACTTATTCCTCTACAAGTTCCTGTAAATGTTTCACAATAAAAGCCTTGTTACAAAATGAAGGGTTTCTCTCAACCAAAACAAAAAGGGGCTTTTAATTTTAAATGGATACAGGAAGTGTTGAGTTAACAGGGCAAACAGGAGCGGATTAAAAGGTAAAAATAGAAAAATACAGAGGGAACAAGAAATAAAGGCCTGAGTCTGCGTCCGTTTCTAATGTAGTCCGTTTCAAATAAAGCTGATACCCTCTACAGTTGTGGTGAGTACAGACAAAGAATTGTTTTCCTTCATATCCTCCTCCATTATGAAGAATCCTCATTCTTTGCTAGCTTGATGCTAATGGAAGTACTCACCAGGTTGCTAAAGTGCCTCTGCTGTTTCACGTCATCATTTTTTCCTTTTTAACTCTGTGATAGTCCCAAGAGGAAATATCAAGACGGCTGGGGTGTTGTTACCATACAGTCTACAGAAAGTCTACAGGCAGATCACTCTGTGTTTCTACTGTTCAAAGTGATGGTTGTGAATAATGGAATGTAATGCATCCCAAACGCAGCATCGGTAGTTATCTACTATGACACACTACACAAGATAAAATGATGGATTATCACGCATGGCACTCACTGTCATTCCCGCTGGTTATCCGCTGTGTGCTCCGCCATCCGTCAACCCCCACCGGCTGCGTTTGCTGTGCGGAGCGGTGCAGCAGCGCCAGACAGCGGGAGTCAGGAGGACCCACGAGATCTTGCGAATTCACGCGATATAACAAGATGTAGTTTCTATAAACAGAACCACAAAACCAGAGGAGGAGTAGGAAGACATCTCGCTGCACTGCCATGATTAATATCTCCTCTTCCATGGTGTCAATGGGGTGAAATGACGTCTGAAAACCTCTGACCTGTTGACTTCAGGCCGGCTTTCGCCTATTATGACGTTTTCAAGGTGTAGTGCAGGGAAATATGATCTGCCGTGAACACTGTGTATTTTATTTTAAAAATTAACCGGATGTTTTATTTTGTTTCTGTGCATGACTTCCTGCCCCGCATGATCTGCTCTGTGCTGAACTGCTGCGTTGTGCTCCGGTGTCCAGCAAAAATAGAAGTCCTGCGTATCTGTTGCGGAGGGCTCCGCAGCTGTGACGGAGCCGGAACGCAGCACAGTCGCAGCCGGTGGAAACACACACATTGACCAGAATTGAAACGTATAGGCTCCGCTGTCGTTCCGGAGTGCAGACGCAACCAACACACATCTGGTGGAATTTGGGGGTGACTGTGGGCTGTAATCGGGCTGATACTGTGTAGTCTGAACCCGGCATAAGTTCAGCAGTGAAGATATCAAGTGAATGTACAGCAGAGTTTACAGTTTGTTGGCTAACAAATGCCGCAATTCCTCAAGCACGGCCGGCAGAAGTCTGTTGGTGCAAGTCTTGAGCTGTAATTCAGCAGTAAATAATCAGCCATGTGTCTGACTATGGATGGTGAAGCTGTTGAATGGATTTGTGGAGTTTGTTAGTTGCAGTGGTGGCTGTTAGCAGTAAGCTCCACTTGTTAGCTCCTGAACGGCAGTGGAGCAAGCAGCCACCAGCCATTGGATTTCACATCTGATCTCCGCAGGACTCCACTCAGATGCGGACTCGAGAAGATTTATGGTTTGATGCAGTTTGACAGGGAGGTAGGAGGCTCAGTTACCTGAGAGTGTAGCTGTACTGTAAGTGAACAAAGTCTGAACTCAGATCAGTTTTCTCTGACAGCTGAAAGTTTAGTTTTAACAAATAAGTCTGTGAGACATGAGTTTAAACCTCCAGACTAACGTTTCAGATTAAGAAATACTTCAGACTTTAATTAAATATTTTTTCTGCTTCTTAACAGTGGTATGGATAAGTCACAGTTTACAATGAACCTGGGTACAAATCCTAGTTGCCCCAGATTAGTTATTTGTGGTTTTAGTTTTTGAGACAATAAATAAAGAGATGTTGAGCTTTTCAAATGATGATCACTAAGTGTGTGCTTGTAAATCACCCCTTAAACCTGGCAAAAACTGCTGGAGAAATGACAGCTTGTACGTGTGCAGAAATTATTTGTAGTTGTTAAAAAAAAAAAAAAAAAGTCCTATCACCTTGATTCTAAATTCTAATAGATCAAATTAGCCCAACTGGATTGGTTTAAAGATAAAAAAAAAAACAACAAACAAAAACAGAAAAACATAATGACTAAGAGTTGACTGAAATGTTTTGAATTTTTTTTGGCTAAAAAACTAGACTAAAACTGTTAAGGATAAAAATGTCTAAAATGTGACTACAAGTAATAAACATTTTTGTCTCAAAACTAAGACTAAATTAAAAATAGCTGTCAAAATGAACACTAGCGGAAAGCAGATTGGGAGTCTATGCAAGGCAAATACGGCAACATATCAGCGGTACCAGGAGCATTATACATCACTGGAGAAAGCCATGGCAACCGGAAAGGAGCCCCCACACAAAAAGAATTAAATCGCAAAGGGTACATAAACCTTGTTACAATGTTTTAGCTTGACGCGTAGTGACTGATAAGACCCAATCAGGAAGAGAATGTGGGTGTCTGCGTCATCATTTTTTAAAGTCTTGTGCCCTTACAGACTAAAACGCAACCTTGGAATTTTCAAACTAAAATGGGGTCAGCAGTGTTTTCCAAAGTTCTCTGTTTTAGGAGTCCTAAATGGCTGAGTAGTGTGGACGCTAGACATAACGTTGTAATAGTTATGAGTTTTAAAACAATAACGTGGGGTGTCGGTGGCTTAGTGGATAGAGCAGGTGCCTCATGTATAAGGCTGTTGCCGCAGCGGCCCGGGTTCGACTCCAGCCTGTGGCCCTTTGCTGCATGTCATTCCCTCTCTCTCTCCCCTTTCACACTCAGCTTCCATATCGACTAAAGGCAAAAATGACCAAAAAATATCTTTAAAACAAAAAAACGAAAATGTGTAAGTTTGGTTGTAGCCTTAGTCCCCGTTGTGACTGTGCCATTTTTTTTTTGCCCCCAAGCCTGATCAGAGTAATTTATTACTGAGTATCTGCCCATATCAAGTCCCGATCTGATACCTCTATTTTCCTAGATAATACAGCTGCACAGTGCCCAGTACACTTAAAGGACAACTTCGGTATTTTTCAACCTGGGCTCTATTTCCCCATGTGTATGTGTGCGTATGATTCATGGGTACCACTCGTTCTAAAATTGGTTCAGTATTGAGCCGCGAAACGAGCTAAAATGGTAACGGGGGCAAATGCGTCCCGTATAAAAGTGCTTTTTTTCACCACTGACCGGTTCAGAT